ACCACCATGAAACCCATCATCCTCTAAGATAGCACATGAAATCAGATTTTCACTCAAATTAGGAACATGCCGCACATTTTGCAAAGTTAACACATAACCAGTTTCAAACTTTAAGCAAACAGTTCCAATTCCATGAACTTGGCGTTTTGTGCCATCAGCCATAGTCACATTGCAATTATTCAATGATTCATAGTGGGAGAAAACATGTTTCATAGGAGTCATATGATGTGAGCATGCAGAATCTAAAAGCCAATCATTTTCACCAAGAGATGATAGCACAGAATTCACACAAGCATGTTCACCAACCATAAACACATCACCAAGATTATTATCAGAAACATGATTAGCATGCTGATCATTAGAGTGCTTATTAGGTTTAGCACAGTTCTGAGCATAATGACCAGGTTCACCACAATTATAGCACTTACGATTACTAAAACGAGTTTTAGACTTACTCCTGCCCCTGCCCTTTTTCTTTTGAAAATTGTTTTTGTTAGAATTATTTTGTGCAAATTAATTATAAATTTGTGTCCGATAAATTCCAGATTCAGTTTTAGCTACTGTTCTACTGTTTTACGAAGAGTTGCAACAGTTAATGGAACAGTAATAAAAAGACAAATTTTAAAGTGGTTCGGATACAATTGTACCCTACATCCACGGGGACCTGCAAATGAAATTCACTAATTTTTCGTTTTACGAATACAGTAATAGGACTTAATCGAAAATGCAAAGACTCCCTCTTTGTCGACGCCGTTCTTGTATCCTACGCTGAATTGTGAATCTTCACTTTGCAGCACGTCCCTTTCCGCACGGTTGAAATTCCTTCAACGCTGAGTCCCTCAGTCGGCGGATCGACCTCCTCCCGAGATCTTCTGAGTTCTCCTCCCGAAGAACCGATCTTCTTTTCGCGTGAAAGAAGCAAATCTTTTGCTGTGTTTTTCTTCTCGAATAAGATCACAACTCAGGAGCAGCAACGTAAGAGCAGAAAAAGTTTTTCTCTCAAATAAAAGGGACGACCTCTAACAACGTTGATGCTCCCCTTCTTATACTTCCTTGGGTGAATTAGTAGAGCCCTACACAAAAGTGGAGCCCATTAGGTTATATTTTCTCTTACGTAAGAAACAAAGAGTTGTATAACAAAGGAAATTCTTTTCCAAATAAAATTCCTTGTTAACAAATCACATAGGCAATTAAATAAATTAATGACAAAATAAGAGTTAAAAGAACTAAGGAAACTTCCCTAGTTTTTATACACGGTTTTCACACACGTGTTGAAAACCCGAAATTAGAATCCTCTCGGATTCTAACAATCTCCCCCTTTGTCATCTATTTATTATAATCAAGTCCCCCCCCTTGATCAAATACCTGACAAAAACATTAGACTGCATAATAGAGTAACTGTTAGAACAGTTCAAAACAAAACATCAGTAAAAAAGAGAACAGAGTTAAGCCTAGCAGACTATTAGAGGCCGTTGTTCAGAAAATGAATTCGACAACCACAAAAAAACTAAAAAAAAACTAATCCAGAATATCTTCAGCATCAACGAACAACTCCTCGTCATCATTCGTATCAACTTCAGCTGTTGTACCATCAACTGTTGGAACAGTTGGAGCAACAACAGTTGGATCAGTAGTAGTTCCAGCAGCTGCATCAGCTCCCCCTGTATGCGGTTCCGTTGATGCTTCGTTGTCAACTCTCCCCCTGAAGAATAATCTCCCCCTTTCTGAGCAAGGGCAGTAAAATAGTCGAGTTTCTTCTTCGTAAAAACGACTTCGACAATCAGAGACCCCACTAGTTAGGTTGGCGTAAAAATCATGCGCTCGGAGAAAGAACCGAGAATTAAAAGCATCGACAGCAGAGATAGGCACCACGGGATCCGGTGCAGAGTGACCAGCGGTGGTGCGAGTAGCGGAAGGCGAGGCAGAGTGAGTAACGCGTCGACGAGAGCGGTGAGGTGGCGGTGGTGCAGGTGAGGCCGGTTTGGGTGGTTGCGATGGCGGTGCACACGGTGGTGGAGAAAACCTAGGGACCAAAATGAGTTGCAGATTGCCAAAATTGTCGACGGAGGCGGCCGTGAGGAGAAGCGGGGGCTCCCAAAAAGCGAAGGGCATCACATGGCTCCCCGACGGCAGATCGGCGATTGGAGCGACGAGGCGGCGGCGGGTCCGCCTGAGACGTGGTCGTTGGTCGAGAAGCTCTCCTTTTCGACGATGAGGATGAACCACCGATGTTCTTTCGTTTTCCCATGATGATTTTCTTAATTCCCTTTTGGTTTGATTGAATTTTTTGGAAGTTGCTGCAAGTGAAGAAGAGGAAGCAGCAAGGCAGTAGGGAAGAAAAAGTACAGAAATTTGGGGAGAAAACAAAACGTGAAGGAGGGATTATGCAATGATGACTGTTGGTCTTCTCATGGGTATTTTAGCAATTTAGGCGGACTATAGCGAAGAAATTGCAAATATTATTCTGCCAACAATGAGTTCAATTTATGAAAACTAAATTCAGGTACAGCAACTCTCAACCTTCACATATGAAGCCCAACACATTTCAAGAAAAACTTCGAAGAAAAAAAATGCTCAGAACAGTAGGTTATTTCGAAGAAATATATTGCCGCAAAAGATTACGAACCCACCCCGTTTTTTTTTTTTTTTTTTTTTTTATTATTAAATAAAATAACTAAATGCCTAATCATGCAAAGACAAATAACTAAGACAAAAAGAATAAACGTGAGAAGAAAAAAATATGAGTGAATAAACACAAGTGAATAGGATACTATTAGGACTATCAAACCATGGGGTTTATCTTCAATTTTAATAAAAAGCAAGCTCCAAGAGATAGACTAAGGAGACTAACGGCAAATTTAGTATCCTCAAATCAAGCACAAAAACACTCTTATTAGGCAGCATACACACACTACCAAAGGTAGCTTTTTCATGAAGAGCAGAGCAATTAAAAATAGCGAGATAGTTATGATCGTGCAATGTGTAGTCCCCTGGGCTTTCTAATTGAGTCGTGTAGTGAGTGTTCGGTCATGTGGTTTACCGGATCGACTCAAAAAGGCTTCGAACTATTCACTGACCGCATATAAAATTTATAATGGTCGTGCTATGTGTAGTCCCTTGGGCTTTCTAATTGAGCCTTGTAGCGAGCTTTCGGCCACGTGATTTACTGACTCAACTCAAAAAAGGCTTCGAACTATTCACAGACCAATTGATTGACATTATATATATAGAATTTACGAAAATTCAAGAGTAGCTTTCACTCATTTGGAGCGGCAGCTTTTCCTTATGAGAGTGTTCAACCATGACAAGACTGTTAAGGGTAGTAAACAAGCTAAAGCCTCTGTAGCTATCATTTGGGGATTGATGAAGTTCTACCTCACAAAATTCGAAAGTACAGATAGTATCCAATACACGAGGGGTCTCATCACATGCAGTATGTCTAATGCATAACCTAGATGAACAAAATGCAGTATGCGTGATGTGTCCATAAAACTTTAAAAGTTGCAAGTCTGGACACAGACTGTTGCAACAGTTTATGCAACTGCACAGGTCAGACAATACAAATTCCAAGCGAATTTCGCAAGGAATCAAACCTTTGTGCATCTAGGGGTTTAGTAAAGATGTCAGCAAGTTGTTTCTCCGTTGTGACATACTCTAATGAGACAGTTCCTTCCTCTACAAGATTTCTAATGAAATGGTAGCGAATTTCAATATGCTTAGTTCGAGAGTGCTGTACTGGATTCTTGGAAATATTAATCGCACTCACATTGTCACAATAAATATGCAATAAATCTTGACTAATACCATAATCACATACCATTTGTTTCATCCATAAGAGTTGGGCACAACAACTACCAGCGGCGATATATTCCGATTCAGCAGTGGAAAGCGAGATACTATTCCGTTTTTTGCTGTACCAGGACACGAGATTGTTCCCAAGATAGAAACATCCTCCAGTTGTGCTTTTTCGATCGTCTGAATCACCTGCCCAATCAGCATCGCTAAAGCCTCGGGTTTGAATTCCTTCTTCTACCGGGCCAATGACTTGATCCACTGGATGATTCTTCTTGACTCTTCTTGAGGGTTCCTTGTGAGTTTGATCATCCAATTCGAGAGGCCTGACTTCAGCTTCGTCTCCTGTTTCAGAATTGACGTCACTTTCTTCTGAAATGGTAGAGGCTGCATCAACTGTTGGAACTGTTGGTGCGACACTGGAGCTGTTTTCCGATTCCTTTGTTGGTTCCTCTTCCAGTGGTCCTTTCCAAATTTCGTACGGAGTTTTAGTGGTACCTGGTCGAAGATAGACTCGATTTATGATATGACATGCAGTGTTAACTGCTTCTGCCCAAAAACGAGGAGCGATCTCCTTTGCGTTCATCATGACCCTGGCCATCTCTTGCAGAGTGCGATTTTTGCGTTCAACCACTCCATTTTGTTGAGGTGTGTTAGGTGCGGAGAATTCATGAGATATTCTTTTGTGCCAAAGCACTGTAGAGTCTGACAGACTGTTGAAACAGTTCATACCAGCAGAGACAAGAATATAGCGGTTGTCAGATGATCGAGTTCCTTGAATAACACAATTCTCATCTTTGTCTAATACTCGACATGCGAATTTGTTGAATCTGACTTCAAGATCTTGATCACATAGCTGGCTTATGCTTATCAGATTTGACGTGAGTCCTTCTACAAGTAGTACATTCTTCAACTTTGGCAGATTCTCATGATTTAGCGATCCTTTCCCTAGCACTTCACCCTTTTTTCCGTTTCCAAAGGTAACAGCTCCACCGGTGATTTGTTGATAGTTTTTCAGAAACTCTTTAACACCGGTCATATGTCGTGAACACCCACTGTCAAAATACCAATCATTAGTAGTACTTGCTTTTAAAGAAGTAATCGCAGATAAGCATTTAAACGTGGACTTTTCAACCCAAATTTTTTGCTGAGGTCTATTGGAAATATCAATTTTATTTTTGGGTTTTTGAGAGGGTGAAGGAAAATAATCAGCCCTAGCAGAGTAAAGAGAACGAGCCACAAGCTTTTTCACAAGTTTTAAATATTTGAAACATCTAGGACGTATGTGACCTGGATTTTGACAGAAAAAACAAGTGGGAATAAACCTTTTCTTTGAATTGTGTTTCGTTGCTTCAACAGTTGCAACTGTTTGTGAGACAGAAGCTTGTTTAACAAAGTTGATTTTTCTGTTTTGATCTTCCTTTCGCTTTAGATCAACTTTGGGTAGCTGACTCCCTCCTATGCCTAGACGATTATAGTTTGGCTTGTTGTTGCTTAAGATTTCATCTAGATTACCTCTACCCAAGTTCAATTTTGCAATTGCTTCTTGAGTTTGAGTAAGTTTAGCCTGCAAACTATTTTTCTCTTGATCACTAGATATGACCCTTTCCTCAAGAGTAGAGATTCTTACCTTTAGTGTCTTGTTTTCCTCTACAAGCACAAACTTCTCCTTTTCCAGGAAGTTATTTACCTTAACGACGTCGAGCCATTTTTGGTACATTTTTTCATATACCTCCTTTACTTCATCCAAGGTTGGTTCTTCCTCATCACTGCTGCTGTTCGGATCCTCTGCAAAAGAAGAATTTTCGTTTAGATTTTTGTCATAATCAGAACACATATTTTCATACCTGGATTCTGTTTCACAGTCTGTTGCAACAGTTGAAGCAACAGTTGATTCTGAGCTGTCCAGAGGAACTTTGCTGCTGAATGCTACAAAGTTAGTGACTTGATTGTTGTTTCCTTGGTCATCATCAGATTCTTCTTCATCGCTCCAACCAGTAGTAAGTGACATTTTCTTCTTTTTCTTCAGGGTGTTTGCGCATTCTGATTGAATGTGACCAAAGCCTTCGCATTCTCGACATTGTATTCTTCTTGGTTTTGACTCCTCTGAGTTATCTTGATTTGAATTTCTCCTAGAATTTTGAAAATTCACGGGTTTCCCTGTGCTTGGAAGATTTCCCCTTTTTTCGATCTTTTTGAGAAATTTCCCAAAATTTTTCGATAGTAGTGCCAAGGATTCTTCAACTGTTTGCTCATCTTCTTGAGTTGACGAATTTTGGGGCGTTGCATATGATGTTTCTGCTTGAAAGGCTATCTTCTTTTCTCTAGACTTTTCACGATGATTTTCACCATGATTGAGTTCTTGTGCTAGAAGTTTCCCCATGAGTTCGTCTAGTTTGAGCGTGTCAACGTCTCTGACTTCTTCAATGGCAGCAATTCGGTAAGCGAATCTTTCAGGTAATGAGCGCATCGCTTTTCTCACTAATTTGCTTTCTGAGTATGGTTCACCGAGTGCGTATGATTCATTGGAGATATCACATAATTTAGCATGGAAGTCAGTGATCGTCTCATTCTCCTCCATCTTCAAATTTTCGAATTTGGTGGCCAACATCTGTAACTTGGATGTCCTTACAGTTGACGTTCCTTCGTATGTGACTTGAAGAATTTCCCAAGCTCTCTTTGCAGATTCACATGACGCTATTAGTTTAAATTGATTATCATCAACACCACTAAATATTGCGTTTAGGGCCCTCGAGTTGTAGTTTGCGAGTAGTATTTCTCCATCACTCCAATCTGCTTCTGGTTTGAATACTTCCTCTTTGTCTTCTCCTTTGATCATGGGAGGTGTCCAACCAGTTATGATGGCGCGCCATGCTCTCTCATCTATGGATTTGATAAACATCTTCATTTTTGATTTCCAGTATGAGTAGTTGGAGCCGATTAGAAGAGGTGGACGAGTAGTTGAAGATCCTTCTCGTTGAGTATTCATATCTGCACAAAATAAGAGTAATCAGTTCCCAAAATCTCACTAGATATATTTAGTGACAGGCTCTTGATGCCAATTGTTAGAATTATTTTGTGCAAATTAATTATAAATTTGTGTCCGATAAATTCCAGATTCAGTTTTAGCTACTGTTCTACTGTTTTACGAAGAGTTGCAACAGTTAATGGAACAGTAATAAAAAGACACAAATTTTAAAGTGGTTCGGATACAATTGTACCCTACATCCACGGGGACCTGCAAATGAAATTCACTAATTTTTCGTTTTACGAATACAGTAATAGGACTTAATCGAAAATGCAAAGACTCCCTCTTTGTCGACGCCGTTCTTGTATCCTACGCTGAATTGTGAATCTTCACTTTGCAGCACGTCCCTTTCCGCACGGTTGAAATTCCTTCAACGCTGAGTCCCTCAGTCGGCGGATCGACCTCCTCCCGAGATCTTCTGAGTTCTCCTCCCGAAGAACCGATCTTCTTTTCGCGTGAAAGAAGCAAATCTTTTGCTGTGTTTTTCTTCTCGAATAAGATCACAACTCAGGAGCAGCAACGTAAGAGCAGAAAAAGTTTTTCTCTCAAATAAAAGGGACGACCTCTAACAACGTTGATGCTCCCCTTCTTATACTTCCTTGGGTGAATTAGTAGAGCCCTACACAAAAGTGGAGCCCATTAGGTTATATTTTCTCTTACGTAAGAAACAAAGAGTTGTATAACAAAGGAAATTCTTTTCCAAATAAAATTCCTTGTTAACAAATCACATAGGCAATTAAATAAATTAATGACAAAATAAGAGTTAAAAGAACTAAGGAAACTTCCCTAGTTTTTATACACGGTTTTCACACACGTGTTGAAAACCCGAAATTAGAATCCTCTCGGATTCTAACAGTTTTGATGAGAACCATTTTGAGAAACATTTTGGTTAGAGGAGGAAGGCTTATTTGAAAATCGGTTTTGCTGTCTTCCTCTCACAAAGTTCACCTCACCAAAACTCTTATTGCTTTTGTTAACTCTCAAATCCATTTCTTTACTCTTTAAACCGTTTATGACAGTGTCAAGAGAAATATTATCCCTGCCATACTTAATAGCAGATTTCAAATCGTTGTAAGAATCAGGGATTGCGTTTAACAAAACAATGGGAGTATAGTTATCAATACTTTTGTCTCCCGTCAGTTTAATATCCTGAACTAATCTGGTAAACTGATCTATGTTCTCATCAATATCTTTGGTTAGATCCAATTTGAATCTAAAAAATTTTTCGAGTAAAAACAATTTTGAGGGCAGAGAAGTTTCAGTGTACAACTCATCTAACTTTTCCCACAGACCTTTGGCAGAATCATGCATACCTACCTTTCTAATCACAGAGTCAGAAAGATTCAATATAATGGCAGAGTAAGCAAGTTCATCGAGTTCTATTTTCTTAGAAGCAGTAGTTTCAGCAGCATAAGATTCATCAATAGCCACATAGCATCTTTGTTGAATTAACACACCTTTCATTTTCTGTTTCCAAATAGAAAAATCACCCTTACCATCAAAAGGAGCCATAGAATAGACAGACATGGCAGCCATACAAATTTCAGCACAAAGCAAGATATTAGACCAATTTTTCACAATAGGCCAAAACTGGGACAGGTGCATATGCAACAAGGATAGGCAATCTTGGAGACCCTCCCTCACAGGATTCCAGGGCACTTGCGGTCCGGTCAAGTGAGGTCGAGAATCCAAGTTATACCACCCTTTAATATTTATATATATAAGTGAGCAGTTTATATATATGCAGCGGAATAATAATGTTCACACAGAAGCAAGAGTGGCACACAGACCACAACAGAACACACAGAGTGGCTCACGGACCACGAATCACACAAAGTGGCTCACAGACCACAGGATCTAAAGATAAGGTAGTACCAATCACAGCAGAAAACTAAATCCCAACCATAGGGGGTTTAGGGTACAATACCTGAGCGGAATCCGGTTGGATTTCCGTACGCCCTATTTGAACGAGCACCCCCAACTTGACGATGCTCTGGTACCACTGTTGGGTGGCCGTTCAAATAGCATTAATATTACAGACCTTTAATCAAATGAATTACACAGATTAATAAGCCTAAGGGGAAGGGGATTAAGACTTAACAAATAAATTACAGAAATAAATAATAATAAGAACGAATCTGGGGCAGATCGAAAATCTGCCCGTTTTCAGCTCCGGTGGAGAAGATGACACAGCAACGGCTCAGTCCTCGTTTCCCGTGTCCACGTCCGGAGTCCAGTCGGCGGCAGCCAGCACACTCCCGGTGTCAAGCTCACAGATCCACGCCCAGCAGTCAGAACATCATCCGAGTGCTCAGATCTCAGCCTCACTCCGACTGTAGTCTCAACCCAACCCAAAACCCCAACGAATCGAACTCACACACACAGTGTTTCCCCAGATCTGGTACCCTCACTCACAGAGGTCACGAAACCACTCACCACAGAGAGGTTTAAGACAAGAAGGTAGAAGATGGGAAGATTTCGTTGTTCTCGTTTTTTTCTTCATCGTCAAGAAGAGATGTATATATACTCGTGCAGCTGCAGCAAGAAAGGAAAGGGAATCGACCGAATCTCCGACCGCCATGGAAACCGGCGAAAGATTCGGCCGTTGAGAAGAAGAGAGAAGAGAGAGGTGCAGCTGCTAGGTTAGGGTTTGGAGGCTTTGTGAGAGAGAGAAGATATATATATGTGGCATGGATGGCTGAGATCGAGACTTATCAATCAACGGTCCAGATTGACTCTGCTTGGGCTTTAAGTGAGCTGCTGGGCCGACACCAATGAAGTGGGCTGCACAAGATGGGTTAGCAGTTTTTGGGCCAAATAAACATTTGGGCCCCTTTTATCTAACACCTTTGCCATTGAAGATAAAATTAAAGCACATATGAATCATTAACAAATAAACAATAAAAAAAAAAAAATTTAAACCCTAATATTAATAACTAATTAGCTAATAGGAGATGGTGCAATCAATGGCTCCATTAATTACTAGCTAGTACTCTAGTGCTTGTTGAAGCTGCAGCAGCAGCAGCTGCATTCCTCCTTTGATCAATTTCTTCTTGTTTCCTAAAGTTGATCACCAAACGAAGCTCGTCGCTTCCGTTTACTCGATACCCCCAAATTTCAACCCAATCGCCTTTGACCGCATTGTTGGCGTTGACTATCCTGCTCCATTGTTTGTTAATAACAATCATCTGCAAGCTAGGCCACCTCCCCAAGTTCAGGTTAAACGAGCGGCCTCCTTTATCGATCCCGATACATTGAATTCCTTTTCTCGTCTCGGTTACAGCTATCCTCTCTTCGTCTCTGAGAAAACTCATCAAGAATTCAGGGGTGTTGATGCTCAATCTGTTGAGGTGGTCCCACACATCGGATGCTTCGAGTTTCTTGTGGTACAAGAAAACCGGTTTACTTCCGTTGTGTGATTCGATCGTCTCAATCATACCTGGAATCTCCTCCACTGGAATATCAACTCCAAACAACCTAATTGCCTTTTTCTTGGCGGGAACTTCGTCAGAAGAAGGGCGGCTTCCGGCGGCAGGAGCAAGAGATTGATCATGTGACGAAACAGTACTAATTGGGCAGATAACGGTGGCCGGAGGAGTAGAAGAAGATTCCGGTGGTGTAACAGGATCTTCTTGGGGGGTGTTTGGATGAACAGGAATATCAACTCCAAACAACCCAATTGTCTTCTCATCAGAGTACTCTTTGATCTCCATTAATTAATGTGATTAATATGATCTGCTTAATTAATGCTTATGAATTAGTATTTGTTTGTTTCTTAATTCCGATGGGTAATGAGATTAGAATGAAGGGGTGCTTATGGGTATATATAAGGAAGTATTTGGGTTTTCCTTGTTAGAATTGGATATCTCTATTTCATATATATACAAGAAAGGAAGGAATTAATTAATGTTGTTTGACGTTGGATTCTACTTATTTTACTTCCTAATTCGAATCTACTTCTTCTACGTCCATTCTAAACTATATGTAATTAAGGAATATTTCCTAAGTCGAATCAACCAACTCAATTCTCATTAAAATTGTACTCAATATTTGAAAAATTAATTAAATCAATTTACTTCCCCCTTTTTTTTTCTTTATAATGATGTGGCATTCGATGAGTATCTTTTAGTCTATAATTGAGTTTAGTAAATCAGTAATAACAAATTAAAATTAAAAAAATACAATATCAACTATAATTTACAAAACAAAAAATATACAAACATTATAAATGATTTATACAATTGAAATCGATAAACAAAAAATTCAAAAAAAAAATAATTAAAAATTACAATCGATTAGCCTTAATCGGCTACTGAACATAGTTGATTAGGCCTTAATCGGCTATTGAACATAGTCGATAAACAACACGTAGTCGATTAAGGGTTCAACCTGTGCGAATTTCTCTTTCAATGTCGTCTTCCGCCCAATTCACCAAAAAACCCCAGATATGCTCTTCATCGTCGTCACCACGTCTCCGCCACACCACACCATTACCACCCCGCTTCCATATTCTAACACTTTTTTTATACAAATAAAGTAAATCACAACCCGAACCAACAATCAAAACACAACCACCACCTTCAAAATCACCAAAACAAAGCCACCCATATAAAAAAATATGCTAACACAATTAAATTAAAAATCCATAACGAATAAGTAGAATGAAACAAAACTACCTTGAGTGCGTATTTTGCAGCCCCCGTCGCCCTGCTGCCGCCTCCACTCGAAGCCCCGGTCGCCAACCTCCACCCGCGCCGTCTTCTACCATCGCTGCACCACCAAACACTCAGATCAGATCTTGTAAAGAGGGAAAAACAAGAGAGAGAAAGAGAAGAGAGTGGGAAGAGAGAAAAGAGAAAAAGAAAAGAACGGCATAATAACGTAAATAATAATTAAGGTTTTGAACGAGTATATTGGGCAATTGAGGGTAGATTTGGAATTATGAACATATCATTTGGTTGGAATATTAGCTAAGGGGGTTTTCTTTAATTATTTTTGGGAGGGGGGTGTTTCCTTAATTACATTTCCTAGATGGGTGAGGGGGGGGGGGGGGGGGGGGGG